CTATCTCAAGCAGTTGTGAACACACAGAAAAACACAAAAAAAGTTTTTGAACATTAAATATTTACAACTTCGTACGACAACATTTGTAAAATAGTAACAAACAACTGGCATTTCTGGCAAATTAGCCCAAAACTTAAGTCAATTTTGAATCAAAAAGCTTTTTCTAGAAAAAATAGGCTCTCTTGGATCAATTTAAGATGAATTGGATGTACTGCTTCAGAAACAAATTTTGAAGCCTTTTTTCGTTGCTCTATCTGAAGTTTGGTTTAGTGAAATGCCTAACCTCAATGTTTTTTGCCCAAAATGTTTTTGAGCACATAGCTACAAGTACCAAAACCAAAGGTAAGGGTGGAGGAGTAAAATTTCTTTCTATGGAACAAAATGGTTCAAAGAGATTGAAATGTGCAGCCTCAAAAAACATAAAAACAATTACTGCCTCGAGGAACTGTAACAAACAGAAATTGTTTCTAAACGAGGTTTAGATGACGCCATTGCAAAAAATGACAATTTCCTTGAAACTTAACAGACCCATGTTCGAATTTTAAAAAATTGACACCAGAGATTTGATTTCAAAGTACTTGATTTTAAAATTCGAAGTTAAAACAGCAGCATGACAGATTGAAAACATTTCTTTTAGCCTATTCCTCTATTACTCCTAATTTGACATTCTTAACTTGAACTGCTCAGTGGAACCAATCGCTCAAAACTACTACAAGATAAAAAAAAAGATTTGCTAAAAAAATCATTTTTTTTTCAAAATTTGTCTCTAAAATTTCACGATCGGAATTGAAAGTAATCTCCATAAACACAACTTTTGGAGCGCTGTAGCTGGTGTAAGCAAACACAGAATTTTTGGAACTCCACTCGAAAGTCTAACAATAAAGCGAGTACAAAAAATAGTTGAAGCATACTTCTTCACAGACCAAGCCTAAAAGCAATAGGAAATTATATGCCTGGCTTTTAGATACTTGTTTTGGTTTCATAACATCTCACATTTCAGATCACCTTAAAGTTAAAAAAATTTAAGGAGTTTTATAAATCCGATTTCCTTTTTTGCTTTTCTTTAAAAAATATTTTCTGCAGACTACCTATGTTTCCTCACTGTGGTGACCAGCAATCAAAAGTCAACAAATTTTTTTAGTTTGCGCAAAATTATTGGAAAGAAATAGGATGAAAAACTTTTCTCCAAGTAAAAAAAAACGCCCAAGTTTTTTTGGTTGTTTTCTCCAGAAAAGAGAAATCGAATTTTCAACTAATCAAAAATGTTGTACCGCAGAAATTGTATTGCTGCTTCCATCGCAACTTGTAGCTTTTTTAACTGTGATTAGTTTCGTAGAAAACAAGGAAGCTAAAATTTATTTCATGTGCCCAAAAGTGTCTTTTATCATGTAACCGAAATTACTCCAGCAAAAATCCGATAGAAAAATCTCTCTCAAAATTGCCTTGCTCATTTTGCAAGGATTATTTGTGCTCGGTGATGTGGGTATGTGAACACTTTTCAGTTTTTTACAAACCTTTTAGGAGCTTTTCGAACTTTTTTTCGTCAAAATGCTATTATCCTGAACTCAAGACTGACGTGATAATTTTCTTTGAAAATAGATATCTCAGGTATTTTTCTGAGGAAAAGCAGATGACGTTTTATAGGATATCAAATTTGATTTTCTGAGCTCTACTGACTCGTTTAAATATGTGTTCTGAATCCAATTTTTCATATTGCGAGCATTGTTTCAAAGAAAGTTGCAGTATCTTTATCTTTGTAAGTTTTAACTAATCGCGCGCTATTGCCTCAAAATCTTTTAACAATAATGTTTCTCTATGGCACTGTAAAAACCTTGTTTCGTTTCGCTGAGAAGAAGTACGTTTGGATAATTTGATGCAATTCGCTGAGACCAGATACGTTTGGATGATTTGATGAATTTCTTGAGAAAATCAAATGTTATTTGTTTGATCAATATTATAAATACGAATAAAATCATCAGATCAAACTAAATTGCATTCTGTTTAAATATTATGATTGAGCTAAATATGAAGAGAAGTTCTTGTTTGAGCGGCATTTTTCTAGTCAATAGTCCTTGATTTTTCCAAACCGCTCTTGAAGATTAATTGAAATATAGCTATGCTCAAAAAATCACAACTAGAAAGCATGCATATTTTTTTCAGTCTTCTCATCTCAATTCAAATATCTTTGTCAATGAGTCCGGAAATAACTAAAGTGCCAATTAAATCTTTTATTATTAATGGTATGGACGCAACTGACCCGCGACCTTTCTTCGTCAATATTTCGATCGATAATGGAATCCGCTTTTGCGGCGGATCTATCATTGCGGCCCATTGGATATTAACAACTGCTCATTGTCTGATGGAATTTGATAGTAAGACTTTAACATTTCCCAGACAAACAATTAAGCAAACAAGGATGGCGGGTTAATGTTCAACTAGCGCAGATTGTTCCGACCACAGTCTTGCTGTTTTTTTAATTGGTATCTTTTTTTCTGCATCTTATGATAAAAAGATCTGAACAGAACAAGACAATTTAAGCATTAATGAGAACCATAATAATTGGTCAATTAGGAAAGAGTTTGACTAGAAAACGAAAAAAAAATGGCAAGAAAAACGAAAAAAAAAAGATTTTTTAAATTTTGAAAAAATTTCAAAAAAAATTTCACGTTTCCTGAGAGATTTGTATGAATTTTAAATTTTTCATTCCCAAAATTGCGCTCAAAAACTCCAAAAAGTAACTTTACTTGAACAAAATTAAGTTTTCGTGGCTCAAATTAAGCTTAATTAAGCTATTGTAAGCATACCACGTCGCCTTATTAGGTCTAACTTAGACCAAAAATCAAAAAGATTAAACCGGTTTTCAAACAGAACTTTAAAAACTGAAAGAGCATTGATATGATATATCACTCGGCCCATTCCGATGATCATTTGTAGTAAAAAAAAAAGTAAAACACAACCGAATGCAAAGTTCCTCCCCATTTTCAAGGGTCAAAACAATAACAGAGGATCTGTTCAAGAAGAGACACATTATCTTCTTGAACAGATCCTCTGTTATTGTTTTGACCCTTGAAAATGGGGAGGAACTTTGCCTTAGGTTGTGTTTTACTTGTTTTTACTCCAAATGATCATCGGAATGGGCCGAGTGATATATCATATCATTGCTCTTTCAGTTTTTAAAATTCCGTTTGAAAACCGGTTTGAACTTTTTGATTTTTGGTCTAAGTTAGACCTAATAGGGCGACGTGGTATGCTTACAATAGCTTAATTAAGCTTAATTTGAGCCACGAAAAATTTAATTTTGTTCAAGTAAAGTTACTTTTTGGAGTTTTTGAGCGCAATTTTGAGAATGAAAAAATTTAAAATTCATACAATTCTCTCAGGAACGTGAAATTTTTTTTGAAATTTTTTCAAAATTTAAAAAATCTTTTTTTTTTCGTTTTTCTTGCCATTTTTTTTCGTTTACTAGTGAAACTGTTTCCTAATTGACCAATTATTATGGTTCTCATATATGCTTAAATTCTCTTCTTCTGTTCAGATCTTTTTATCATAAGATGCAGAAAAAAAAGATACCAATTAAAAAAACAGCAAGACTGTGGTCGGAACAATCTGCGCTAGTTGAACATTAACCCGCCATCCTTGTTTGTTTAATTGTTTGTCTGGGAAATTTTAAAACATTAAAACAACCCAGAAATCATAATTTGCAAAAACTTTCTACACTGCTTCTTCTAGTTCCTGTTTCCCCGCTTTTTTTCCCGTAAGGTAATAACCAATATGCGAGCTGCGCAATTTCTTGCGGAGCACCAATGTTGAGCCCAATCAAAACACTATATGCAGTTTCTGCAAATTGGACTGGGTATTGTTACGTCATACTCAATCTTTAATCAAACACAGATAAAGATAGAACACGAACCACTGAAGCTTTAACTTAGAAGTAGAGACTTTAGCCACCTCTCCAATTTAAAGGAAAAGGCTGGCAGAACTTATGTAGTTTTGTAAACCGTAGAAACTCTTGTATTTGACATTTATCAGTTTTGGAATGAAGTACGTAATTTCTATCCACACATTTTAAAAAAAAATCATGCCTTTAAAACCTTTGTTACGACTAACAACCAATTATATGAGAACAGCATCACTTGAAGGAGCAATTTTTATGAAAAAAAGAGATACTATTACACACAATTCTGACAAAATGTTTGTTCTCTTGGAACAACTTCTCTGTGGAACACAATCAATATGCATTGAATTCCACCGAATGTCGAAACCCATTTGATGTGAAAACAAGCAAGGGTTTTTTTGCTTGTAAATGGTATTTAAAAGCAATAAACCATTGATAGTTTTCACATCAAAGGGGCTTCGATATTCGGAGAAACTCATTGCTAAATGATTGTGTTCCAGTGACAACGTCTATGGATTACAGTTCACAGTTTAAGTACGTGGTATTGAGGTAGTAACGTGAGTTGAAGATTGCTTTTTTGACTTGAGTGGCTGATTTTCAGAAAATTGCTGCTAAATTACGAACAGTAATAGGAGGTAGAGCATAAAAAATAGCAGGGGTAGCAGGGGATATCACAGAATTGCACTTGAGTTGCAGAGAATGTAAATTGACTAGATTTCAGACAAATTGCCATTTGTAAATGGGCTAAACTTTGCTTCGTAGATTTACATATTGCTATCATTTTACTGGAAAAAGTCAGTTTTAAAAAGAAAAAAAGCTAGTCAAACAGTTTCTCTAAATGAGAATAATACGAGCTGTCATTTTTTATTGGCTCTTGTCATAAAATTGTATGACCGGCTTTGCCGTGCATAGAGGTTTAATCGTGTGCTTTGTTTACAACTGAGTTCTGCGTCGTATTGAAAGCAGAACTGTGTTCTCGAAGAGATAGTTTCGGTCGAAAATTGAACCCAGGCCTTCTAGAATAGGGTCAGAAAACACAATTCTTTGTTCCCGCGAAACGGAGCTCGAAACTTTTTGGTAACTATTTTTGTGTATTCAGTCAATAAGATGTATGTCAATGTTGGAGACTTCAGAAACGCCACTTCCCAGAAGGAACAAATCAAGATCAAACAAGTTTTCACTCACCATTATTTCTTCGGCAGGTAATTTTCTCACAGCTTGCATTTTAAAGTTTTCGATAGAACAGTCTGATTTAATTGGGTTGCTTGTTTTAATGGTGTTTTTTGTATTAAAAACTGTCTGAATTGATTTTTTTATATGGGAAAACATTTAGAACACCTGAAAAAAAAAACGTTTTTTTTTCTGCTTTCAGATCTCCCAAAAGTGGTTATCTGGCTTCACACGACATAGGACTCATCAAATTGAACTCCCCTGTTTTGAATCCTTCAGCAGTCATACCCCTATGCAATAAAAAACCCCCACCGGGACAACTGTACGGTATGTGTGGAGTTGGATCCACACACCCGACTTCAAAGCAAAAGTTAGATAATTACAAATATTTTCTAACCTCAAGTAACAAATTTAACCTACAAATTGAATGAAACTGAAGTTTTTTTGTAAAAGTGGACAAATTGCTGTGATATAAGAAAAAAATATGTGGACCTTCAATTCATACACTATTGTGCAATTTGTAATTGTTTTCATGAAAATTTTAAAAGCGATTAATCTTTTTTGGGAAACTTTTCCAGTTTTGATGGGAAATTTCAGTATATTTTCCACAAAAAATATTCTATGGATGAAAAAAAAATGTAAGCTTATTTGTTATTTTGAGAACTATTTTCGGTTTTTAGCACATACCTATAATTATTTCTGATAACCATGAGCAAAACAGGAATTTATATGATATGCAAAAATGCCTCTCACCTCAAATCTGTTTTCGCCATGAAATAGTGTTAATAATGCTGAAAGTTATTCCTTCAACCGCGTGCAGATCTAGATTTATAAAAAAAATTTTTCTTGTACAACAGTTGAGTGTTTTTGATTTTTTTCTTCGAAGCTGCTACAAGCGAGTGACAAACTCTGACTATCGCAAAAAATGACGAAAGCTTAAGCTTTTTGTTGTGTTTTTTTTCAGACTATTTCAGCTACCAAAAAGCTGTTTTAAGCAAAAAGGAATCTATCTTCATTGAAAATATCGATACATTTTTAGAAAAGACATCTCACATTTGATGATTTTTGATAGTTATCACTGCTCTGAAAGTTCCCGGAGTTCCCAAATTCTACAAACAAGTTATGTTTACCTTTGAATTTTCATCTATGATGCTGAAAGCTTAATTTGAAATACTTATGCGAAGCGAGTTATCGCGTAATCGAAATTGTTTCAAAATGATTTTATCCCATAGTAATTGAACACAAAATCCCATTTTAGGTCCTCTGTCTATTGAAGACCTAAAAAAAGCTTTTAACCTTGTACAGGCGCAGACCAGTTCTATGATTTTCACCACACTCCAGAGTGTGTACTTGACGTAAAGAATGTCGTAACTTAAGATTTGTAGCCTAAAGCGAAAATAGCAAAGTTGTTGTGGATTCTGCGATTCTAAATGTTGTTTCCAAAGGAAGGTAATTTTGAGGCACTTACCATAGTAGTAAGGCGTTCACTTTGAAATTGTCAGATCGTGCTTGCGATCCCATGCGATGACAATGATAGTATAAGAGGACGAGTTCTCACTTCACCTCTAGCCACCGCCTGACCAATTTTGACTGCAATAGTGGTACCACGTAAAAAATCTGGACGCAAGAAAACGGCCTTTAGTCGCAAATAAAGAGCATCGCTCAACAAAGTAACACAGTCTGGAAATTGAGGAGATAATACAAAAGGACTATCCTCGACAGGACCGTCAAGGAACCATGTCAATGAACCGCGATTTGCAGGACCCACGTCAAAAAAAGCCTATTTTGCTTACAAAGTACTCCGTACGAATCAAATTTAAAAACTTTTTAAAAATTCTGTGTTTTTGATTTTTTTCTTCGAAGCTGCTACAAGCGAGTGACAAACTCTGACTATCGCAAAAAGTGACGAAAGCTTAAGCTTTTTGTTGTGTTTTTTTAGACTATTTCAGCTACCAAAAAGCTGTTTTAAGCAAAAAGGAATCTATCTTCATTGAAAATATCGATACATTTTTAGAAAAGACATCTCACATTTGATGATTTTTGATAGTTATCACTGCTCTGAAAGTTCCCGGAATTCCCAAATTCTACAAACAAGTTATGTTTACCTTTGAATTTTCATCTATGATGCTGAAAGCTTAATTTGAAATACTTATGCGAAGCGGGTTATCGCGTAATCGAAATTGTTTCAAAATGATTTTATCCCATAGTAATTGAACACAAAATCCCATTTTAGGTCCTCTGTCTATTGAAGACCTAAAAAAAGCTTTTAACCTTGTACAGGCGCAGACCAGTTCTATGATTTTCACCACACTCCAGAGTGTGTACTTGACGTAAAGAATGTCGTAACTTAAGATTTGTAGCCTAAAGCGAAAATAGCAAAGTTGTTGTGGATTCTGCGATTCTAAATGTTGTTTCCAAGGAAGGTAATTTTGAGGCACTTACCATAGTAGTAAGGCGTTCACTTTGAAATTGTCAGATCGTGCTTGCGATCCCATGCGATGACAATGATAGTATAAGAGGACGAGTTCTCACATGACCTCTAGCCACCGCCTGATCAATTTTGACTGCAATAGTGGTACCACGTAAAAAATCTGGACGCAAGAAAACGGCCTTTAGTCGCAAATAAAGAGCATCGCTCAACAAAGTAACACAGTCTGGAAAATGAGGAGATAATATAAAAGGACTATCCTCGACAGGACCGTCAAGGAACCAAGTCGATGAACCGCGATTTGCAGGACCCACGTCAAAAAAAGCCTATTTTGCTTACAAAGTACTCCGTACGAATCAAATTTAAAAACTTTTGAAAAATTCTGTTACTTTAGGTACAAATAGGAGCGATACAAAAGTTTGCCATTTTGTTTTTTGTAGCTTCAAAAAGTTTGAGAGTAGTTTTGTGGGTTCGACTAACAAGCCGTGTTCAACCTGGTGCGGTTTTCGATTAGAAGTCACAAATTACACAATTTGTCTCCTAATGGAGCAGCTAAATGGCAACTCAAACGTTCCTGGTTTTGTCCCGAGCTTGCTGTTGACTTTTTTGAACAGAAGCGTCAAATTTCGACCAACATGCAGGTCGATTTCTATTTGAACCTTTTGCAAATTGTAAGAGATTGCTTTTTAAGATTTGTCCGAAAGACATTTTAGCAATTACTATAATTGTTAAAGTATGAGCTATATGTTCATTATCGACTGCCCCTTTAAAACATGAAAATACCAGCGTATAAAATATGTTGCCAGCACCAGAAAAGCCAATTCATGACAATTTGTTTTAATCTTCAACCTCAACCAATGTCAAGTATAAAATATGTAATTTGAGCAATAAAAAAATGTTTTTTAAAGCATTCTGAATAGATGGATATGAACCCTTATCAATTCCGGCATCATAAGAAATCTGAAAATCCCTTAATTAAAAAAAATCCAATTTGGATAAAGTTTGTTAAAGATTTTTTAAAAAATTCTAATATTTCGATCACCTAATTGGTCTGAGGAATAAACAGAACACATCGATCACAAAAACCGGACTAACTTTTGATTGAATAATTATTGATCATTAGCATAACTTTGAAAAGACAATATCCTTATTACTGTTGCCATTACCATTACATTTGCTATATCACACTCGAACAGTTCACACTTTTTTATAGTTCAAACTTTTCGGAAAAGTTTCAAAAAATTAGTCAAAATAACATTTCAGAGTAAGAATTATGAGTAAATTCTTTTATACTATGCAGGCAAAGCTTAAATTGATATTCATAATTTTTTTGATTTTCATAAATTGGGAAAAATAAGCAAAAGGGTCAATGGGTTTTCGCTCTGGTGCGTTTTGGTCGAAGTTAGAGGCACTTTCAAATTTTTGTTTTTTGCTTTCTACCATAGTGATTTCTCATTCAAGCTGATTACGCAAAACTTTCCATTGAAAAAAAACATCGATTTTGATTGTTTCTGGTAATTTTGATTTGAAAAAGTAACAACCGGAGTCAATTGATGATAGCATCCGATTTTTTGCTTTTGTTTTTTGTTTTGATTATTTGTTATTTTGAATAATTTTTAGGGCCGAGGTGCTGCAAGAGACGTTTCTGGAAGAACGACCTTGGTCTATTTGGGAGTTGGATCCCGAGGACGATCTCGAATATTTTATGGATGTTATTCAAGTGGACAATACTGGTATTTTGCTCTAAAATTTGTGTTTTTAAACAGACTTACTCCAAAAAAGCGTCGAAATTTTTTCATCTATTGACAAAAATTGAGATAAATTTTTTTATTCATAAAATTTACTGCACGTAAAAGGCAAAACTATGAACGTTATGTTATGATTGTCCTTCAAATTATTATTATTTTATGAATTTATCAAAATTTTTTCGACACGCTTTGCCAACTGCAAAATGGTGCGTGCTCTTAGATTCTCGTAACGGTTTGCTAACTCCATTTTTTGTCTTAAATCAATTTGGAATGTTTTGATTGAACAGTCACTTTTGTGTTAATATCACAAAATATCAAGCGCGTTAACAGTTCCAAATTGACCGAATAAACAATTTTCAAAATCCTGTTTTTCCGAAAAATTTTTTTCAATTCGTGCTCAAAATATAACTGAATTTCGAATGCTTACAAAATTCAATATAAACAAATTTCCAAAAACAATTCAACAAAATTTCACAATATATAAAAAATATATGATGTGAAATTGTATATTTTTGATGTTTCGTTATTTTTTCCTGAAGTAAGTCACTACGGTTTGACTGATCAATCACTGATTTTCAAAAACAAAACAGGGACAGGACAGATAAGACCAAAAAATTAAACCGAGGAGTCCATGAGTGTCGCTACCAGCCCAGGTTGACGAGAACTTCTTACCATTCAATTCCATACAAATCCATATGTACAAAAATGTATTGAAGCTATATGATAAGCATTTGTCCATATATGAAAACTGTATGACAAGTAGTTTTCCATAAATCAAAAAGTTGACTTCTTCTGTAAACTTAAAAACTGAGAACTTTTGGGTTGTGTAGGTAGCCGAACTCAAATGACAAAGACCTTGGTCTTTTCAAAGCGCCAAAGGTTGAACGGTCTTGCAATTACAATTTTTCTGAGAGCTGTCTTTCACAAATGATTTAACAAGAGTAAGAACTTTTAAATTTTGGCAAAAATTTTCAACGATAATCATTTAGACATCAGACATTGATCAAGGCATAAATAAACATGCGATACAAAGAAATAAATGTTTTCAGCTTTTTGAAAAAAATTTTGAGAGAAAAGGAAAAAATTCTAACATTAAAGTATCCAACCCTACGTTATGCACACAAAAAAAAATTTTGCATGGAACAATTTTTTTTTGAAGAAAGTTTGTTTGATTACAATGTTCGACAAGTTCTTTTTTCAACCTCTTTCTGAAATTGTATGACAAATATTTTTCCTTCCATACACTTGATGTATGGAATTGTATGATAAGCAATTTCGGTGTATGAAGGTCAACCCGAAGAAGTTTGACATTGGTGACACTTGGAGCATTGACTTCTGAAAAATTTTCTTTAACTCTTACTGCTAAACTCGATACAAGTAACAGTATCCTTAACTAATCGCTTTCATCCAGTTGTCGCCTCTAATTGATAAATGTTCAGTTGTTACAAAGTTTTCACGAGAAGGGAACAGCAAGCATTTACTTTTGATGCCTGTAACCACGATATTTTTTGATCCCAACCCGTCATTTAACCAAAACCTCAATGAGGTTACAATAGGCCGTCAAATCAAACTAATCTCGTTTAACCATTTCGATTGAACACAACCCGGGTTGACCTCCATACAAAAAAGAATGCTTGTCATAGAATTCCATTGAATGGAAAAAATCGTTATCATACAATTCCCTTGTATGGAAAAAATGCTTATCATGAGGTTTTCATAAGATTTCTTTTTCTATGGAATTGTGCAGTTTTCCATAGTATGGAATCGTATGATAACATTTTTGTCAACCCGGGAAGCTAATTGTATAATAAATAACTTGAAGAATGAAAAATGTCTGTGATTGTTCACTTTTCGCGAGAACGTTTATCCATGAGGAACAGAATCAAATAGCCAGCTCTTTATACGGATCACTGCTGTTAAGCCTCTTAGATAAATGCAAGATACAATTTTTGGTAGTTTTTCTTCTTTTCGAAGAAAAAAAATTTAAACATGTTCTCTGGGTTTTTTGTTCAGTATGCGAATTTCAATTTTTTAATTAGCCATTTTCGAAAAAATATTTATATAGAATTGTCGTTGGTTAAAAAAACGGATGTCCCGAGCTCACCTTTAACAAGAGATTTTGCCTTAGACCAATTTTTGATAATGCAAACTTGATCGATTTGGAATTACTGACTAGCCATATGTCGGCCATTAAATGTTTTTTTTCTGAGTTGTTTCTCGTTGAGATTATTTGATTTGTTATGTCAATTATTCAATTTTTTTTTGTAAAAAAGTAAAAAATGAGTGTCATTTTCTTTTAGTTTTGAACAGTTGCACAAGCAGCGGTGATAGTGGGTCCCCCCTGTACTTAGTCAGCAAGGACGGATGTGGTCACGTGCAGTGCCTTTACGGAGTGACAACTCATAAAACAGTTAGAGCCAGGAATAAAAGAGAGGACCCGACCTATTTGGGCCATATGTTTTTCATCCGTGTGCCCAAGTTCTACAAATGGATAGCTAAAACAGTTAATGATAATGAAAGGAAATAAATCATTTAATTTTCAATTGAAATTTTTTTTCAAGTAAAGTTAGTTTTTGGAGTTTTTAGCCCTTATTAGTAAAGAAAAAAAAATCAAAAATTAAAAAAAAAAATTTGTTGCAAATTGTCGGTTCCACTACGAAAAATTAAGCATAAGTTCTTGTTTTTAATTCAGATCCTTTTATCACGCCACGCAGAAAAAAACGACATTACTTTGAAAAAAATCTCATTTTTTAAGACTATGGTCGGAACATTCTGTGCTAACTGCACAGTAACCTGCTTTCCTTGTTGCAATTAAATCCAAAAAAAATCTCAGACTTCAGACCTAAAAATTGGAAAATTTTGTCAAATGTATGCTTTAATTTCAATACAACACATACCACATCTTTCTTCTGGAAACTTGGATAGACACGTTTGAATCGAGAGAATTTTTTTCAGAAGCAGAAACTTTTGCTCAACTATACACACTTAATACGAGTGATTTGAGAAGTCCTGCTTGTTTTGTTCAGCTTTTTGTGCCAAGAAGGAAGATTTTTGGTCGTCACATGCTCAAAATGCGCGATATTTAGTCACGTTATCATTTACTGGTCTCGGTTCAGATAGCATTTTTTTTTGAACAACTAATTTTTACCAGAACATTTTCAATAAACGACACGGTGGGACTCTTTTCTGCAGCGGAAGACCTGAGATCCGGAAATTTTTTGTAACAAAATTTTGTAAGACGTTTTATTTGCGTCGTTTTTTGTTTTTGGTGCAGTGCGAGGAACATAAACAAGACAAAAACTTTGATAGTAAAACTATTTAAGTGTTTTAAACAAAAATTTTCTCCAAAATTTGAATTAGAAAAAAACATCAGCGAGAAAAAAAGTTTAAATTTCTTTAAAATTGATAAATTTTTTTGCTTCGTTCTTAAATTTTTACTGCCGAGAAATTGCAAAACATTAAACCGATTGGAACAATATTTACCTTTATAAAACTAGGCAAAATTTGAGTTGAAAAACAAATTTTTATAGACATATTACATGCCTGTTCGTTCACTTTTTTGCCCAAAATTAAACAAAAATAGCGTGATTTTTTAAGACCCTGTGAGGTGTCTTGAAAAAAGATTCAAAATCATTTGAATCACAACTGAAATATCGTTAATATAATTTAATACACGACCCATTCCGTTCCGATGATTGATTATGTTATCTGATTTTGAGAGAAAAAAAGCTAAAACATACCCGGTTATAAAGTTCCTCAACAATTTCAATGGTCGGAACAACAGATTTTTTTTTCAATTTTGAATGGTTTTTTCATAAAGTTGAAATTTTGGAAAAACGGTAAATTGTCGCTGCAATTAATTAGCGTTAGATGACATCAGTTAGTTAATTTCTAAAGATAAAATTTAAACGAAACTAAAGATTCAAAACAAAGGAAAAACCCTTAACTAAAGGTTCAAAGCATGGTAGACGATGTTGGTTGTAAGTGTTTGGGAGCCAAACTATCCGAGGGCGAGGGGTGAATAGGGGCGTGGGCAGGAGCTAGGAGCAAATTAATCTAGGTTGTTGTAGACGTTCACGGTTTGCTCTGCCTCTCCAAAGTTGCCCCCAAATTAACTGCCGAAAAAATGCGAAAAAGTAAAATTGATGAGAACGAAATTTACTATGGTAAAACTAGGTTTAAGTTGAGTTGAAAAACAATTATGTTTGCTCGGCTTTTTTGCCCAAAAATAGACAACAAAATTAACATGACCTTTCTAGTCACTGCAAGGTTTCTGGAAAAAAGTTTTAGAGTAGTTTGAATCACGACTGAAAGATCGTGGAAATAATATATCACACGACCTATGCAGATGATTGTTTGTGTTACCCGATTTTGCATGGAAAAAAGCTAAAACATAACCGATCACGAAATTCCTGTACACTTTCAATGGTCGGAACAACATTTTTTTTTCAAATTTGAATGGTGCAGCTATTTATTCGCAAATACTTAGCCAAAATTCTTCACTAACACTGCTTATTTTACATTCCATAGGCAGAGAACAGATAACATGGAAATTTTAATCACAAAATTTTTTTCCTAATTACATAATAATATTCACAAAAAAAATTTAAATTACATAAAACTTCTTTTAACTTACATAATTTTGTAACCACAAAAAAATTCTTTTAATTTATATAAAATTTATTCAATCCGATTGCACTCGAGTTCGAGATAATGAGAGTCCTCTGTCGTTGACGAATTTAAATAACTAGGGTACTTGTCATTTGATTGGTTACAAACACAACCAAAAAATCATAGATTAAAGGGGGACCAAAACTAAACAGTTTTTTGGCTGAACAAAAAAAACTTTCAGGTAATTTGATTACCCTTGGAATTATGTAGAAACTGTATGAATAGTTTTTTCTTTTATGGAAACTGCAAATATTGCATTTTATCAATTTGGGTAACAAAATCAATTTTTCAAAGCCAATTTATCAATCATTACTACAGCAAAACTTAAATGAACTTAGGTCTTACATCAAGCCAATATACCAGTTTTAAACTATATTCACAAACTTTCAATTAAATGTTTTTTTTTCTTGAATTAAATCCTCAAACTTTAATCGTTTATCGTAATTCTTTGTTGGAAAGAGACGAATTCCAGGAAGTGTTGAAAATTTAATCAAATATCACAGTTCGTTGTGTTGAAAAACAAAGGCTGACATTTGGTTAAGTTCTGTACAGTTTTGTTCAGTTTCATTGACTTTAAATAAATGCCCACGGATCTCAGTGGGGTACGTTAGCAGGTTATGTTTTTTTTTTCAATCGCGTAAGACTCACGACCAGTAAGCAAAAAACATCACTTTTTTCGTCTACCAACCACAGTAGTTTGGTTGAATCAAAAGTTTATACGACGAGGTGAAGTCATGTAGTTCCAAATTTTATCAAAAGCTTCATTTAATTTTTGTATTAAATTAATTGATTTTCTGATTGGGTTACTCCGAAAAACTTTTGCACCATTCACCAAATTTCATTGATCGCACTTACTCGACCGTTGTTAGAGTTCTTTAAATCATTTTTGATTGCTTGGAAATAACTGGAAGGTCAAATTTTTCCTTAGCAAAACATTTTCAGTAGTAAATATATCAAAAACCTCAGAAGAGCATCCTTTCAGTCTACTACCATTAAAAACATTATCTCAGTCAAAGTTGAATTTTCATCAGTTTGCTTCGGATTCCGTAAATAGCGCGGAAGAGAAGAAAAACTTTTTCCCAAATTTGGATTTTGTCAACAAATTTGTTTTTGTTTTGTTTGAAAAATTGAAAACTTGTTTTTCTGAGTTGTTAAAAAAGCAATTTAAATATATTTGCACAAAAACTTCTATCATTGTTCTTAATTTTTAAAGCATTTCATAAATTTTAATCCTCGGAAAGACGATAAGTATTTGTGCGATTAATTGGAATTAGATGATATCGGTTAGTTTAATTCAAAAGGTATAATTAATTCGACGTTTTTTTGGGAATTTAGAGGCCACAAACCCTGAACTAAAAACTCCAAACTTAGTAGACGATGTTAGTAGTGAGCGTTTGGACACCCCACGATCCAGGGGGTGAAAAGAAGAGCGGGTAGGAGCTAGCAGCAAAACAATCTAGGTTGTTCTAAATGTTTCAAACGGGTCAATAAATGATCTAGATAGTTCAAGAACTTCCATACCTGTATATCTGATCACTGTTTAATCTGCCTCTCAAAAACTGTCCCATTAATTGTATAAGTGTTTGTAGCTTTAAATAAAAAAAATTGGTAAAAATTCTGAAAACGATTAAACGACCTATTTTATTTAGGAAAATTTAAAACCACTGAAATTGATATATTGAACCATGCCAACTAGTTTTTCTCATGCATGTGTTTAAAATCTGACTTCAAAATTTTTTTGAAATACAAATAAATTTCCATCTTCGAAAAGTTTCATCCCCTTTTCTTTTGCATTTTAATTGGCTTATACATTTTTAGAGTATTCTCTATATCTTCTTAAAAATCTTTTTTATTAGTTTAACACTAATACAAACTTTAACGAGATTGAGTTCTCGAATTCTTTTTGTTGACGATTTCATAGATACTGACACCCAAAACTTCCGAAAATTTACAAAATTTCAAACGAAAACTCAATTGATTCGGGTTACTGGTCCGGCGATGAAGAGGTTGAGACAATACTTGAAAAACAACTACCAGAGGTCAAAGGGTAGATTTTTTGTGGCCTGTTGTTTTTGTGTTGTTTTAATCAATTTTGAGAACTTTCCTTTGTTTTCAGAGAGGAAAATCTCAAAAAGATTTACGAAAAACTATTGTACGAATCTGTTCAATCTGTGCGACAGTAACCAATGAAAGCTTTCATTGTCGAGGATCAAAAAACTTGTCCTAAATTTATTTGTCACCAAAACAAAAGAAAATCAGATCATTAATGCTAATTTGAACAAAATTTATTGAGTTTCAAATTAGCATTTCTGTCTTTGGCTAGAAAAAACTGCTTTGAGCAACCACTAGCTGACATTTGGATTCAAATTTAAATGTAGAGGTTTCTTTATTCTTTATTTATAATAGAAAAGAGAAATTTTGTCTTCGGTTAGAAAAAAGTGCTTTGAACAACCACTAGAGAAACAATTGAATTCAAATTTAAATGTTACAACTTTTCTATTCAAAATTTATTATTGAAAAGCGTAATTTATAAACCTGCATTTCAGTAACAACAAGTTAAAAAAACATCCAAGATAATTGAGTTCAAATAGCAGCTCAGTAGACAAAAGACAACATTTTTGAAAGTTAGAGTGATTGAAAAACAATTTTCAAAAAAACTTATTGAATTTATGATTGAGTGACACCTATTGGTTAGATTTTCAAAGACTTTGTGAAAAGTCGGTCGCTCAAAGCCCTACGCCTTCATACGAAAAAGATTTTTTACTTGATGAATAGTTTTGCTTTGATTATCAATGAGTCGGAAGCCACGGTTGTTGACACCTATTCAAGGTTTTTTGTTTAAGATACAATCTTGAT